TATGGGAACTCTAGACGATATTGCTATCGAAGATTGGTCTAGCAAGAGGATGTCAGTCTAAGCGGTTTACTGGTAATGGATAAACTTTAGAGAGATTAGTTACTTGGAAGTACTATTTATCAGTGTGGTTAACCAACGCACTCGATGGGAATTCAGCCGTGCTTCCGAACGTGCCCTCGCTTTATTCACCTATATTTTCTAATGTAACTTTCATTGTCAGTTAAAATGAAATATAACGGCCTACGCGTACTAAAAAAAACAGCGCTGTACTACAAAATTACGCGAAGTTCTATTCAGTATTATACGCTTTGTCTTCTGGCAAACATACATTTGAAGAGAAGGTTAGCACTTTGAACTGGGTTTAGTACGTTCGCTTCAGACGCGAAACGATTTACGTAACCAGACTAAGCAAATATCAGATGTATGGGGGGATTGCAAAATGGTCATACTTCCTTGCCTCAAAAGTAGACCGCGTAGATTTGCGCGGGGGCATTACTCAAAATATATTGTGCTTTGATCCAACTTTGGCATATGAATAGCGCCTCTAACTTAACTTCAAATCTGAAAAGTTGATCCCATAACTCAACGTAAAAAATAAGTTCTGGTTCAGCTAAAACGAGGCTAGCAGCAGCTCTAACCACTTCAGCGTTTACCCGGTTCAAGCATCAGTGCGTCGTACCAGACACCTGCAGCGTGTTGCTTCGCTTGCCAGTCTTCGTGACACTCCCGGTACGTATCTACAGCCTGGCACTGGTGCAAATCTCTTCTTGCCTCTAATTGTCAACGTTGTTGGCCAGGATAGCAATGGTGCTGTCGATGCCGACACGATTGCAAGTTCAGCTCACTGTCAAAGTTGGGCAGCCTTACACGAACAGCAGGACGACGCACGGGGCCCCCATCATCTTCGAATTCATGCCTAATGATGGCCTCGACGCTCTTCGTGCCAAGATAAGCAGCTCGCTGGCAACGTATACCGACATCACACGGGAAGCCGACGCTCCTATCTTGATTCGGCCGAGTGCTAATGCGTCTCAATCAAACTACGTACCGTTACCAGCATTACAGAGTGAGTTTACTGATCGAATCAACCGCCTATGGAACCAAGCAAGCAGGAGAAAAAATGGGTAAGAAGTGCATTATAAATAATTATCGGTCGAGTAATAATAATTTAACTATTTGTGGTGTACCAGGCAGGCGGATTTTCAACTTGAGCTCTTCATTTACGTGCAGCGAGCTAATACAAGTACTGGAATTCGTCGCGCCACTGAATCGCGTGTACAAGCATCTGCAGCAGCAATAAGTGAACTTCTAGAGCGTGAAGGAGCACGCGACATGTATGGCCCTGCTTCACAGCGGTATTGGGCTATATGACATACACGACAACCTGAAGGAACACCATTAGAGCCACCAACTAATGCTACCTTCTCACAGTTGCAGCGAGTTGATGCAATGCAATCCGACATTATTGCTCAGCAGGAGAATAACTCCGAAAAACGCCAGTTCGTTCGTGTGAGTTGCCGTTTGAGTGGAGGTGTAATTCCTCTGGATATTGACGTTGTAGAATTGCGGCAAGCACTCGGATTACCGTCCTACAATCTTTTTCCTCCTTTTCGGGCAGACCTCGACACGACGTATCCTACTAAAAATATTAATGACAATGAGCACGCAGCACAATAAAAAAACAGTAGCAATAACTAAACAAGCAAATTGCGATCATACATTCAACTAAAAAATATATCGCGGTTGAGACCAGCTTTATCGTAGCCACAATGTCCATATAGATTACTGTTTTCTTCACGTGATGGCTCCATACGTTTTCGCATTGCAACTTGCAATGTGCGCTTGGCGTCGAACCGGAAAGCCAAATGCGTATGCCGCGTCAACCATCGTTTTAAAAGACCAAAGCCGACCTCAATTGCATTCAACTGCGGTGAATATGGAGGTAAAAAGGAAAGCAAGGCTCCTGTCGAGTGAACCAAGTCTTCTAGTTCTCTGTACATGTGGATTTTGGCATTGTCAAGAATAACAATGGACCTATATGCAGTATTGTTAGTGAGATGTGTTGTCGATTCACAAGTAAGCTGCGTACCTAGGAAGAGGCCAAGGATTTAGCAATGGGGCAACATTTTCCAGAAATGATTGGTGAAAACGACGTCGATCAAAGGTTCCTGGAGTTGTGTCTAAAGCTATAAACCCAGACACATCCATCGCAGCAAGGATTGAAACTCGATCACCTACACGAAATGTTAGTTACAGAAGAAAAGTGAACAAATAAAAGCAAAATGTACCTCTGTCAAAAGGTTGCCGTACGATAGCTGGCGTGTTTCTTGCAGACCACGCAAAACGACGAAGCACATCACGACCATCTTTTGCTGTTTCATCCAGAAAAACTAGCTGCTCCGGACCACGATAAAATGGGGCTAATTTCATGTAGTAAGCGTCTATTTCAGCAGGAACACTCTCTCTTGCCCGTTTGGTAAGAACCTTGCGAGTGAGGCCAAGGTCAAATCGCAGCGCCCGGCATATAGTTGACGTTGAAATGTTTGAAAGTGACGGGAATGTTGCTTGTAGAGCTAGTTGCAGCTCTTCGATGTAGAAACACGGATGCTCCTCCACGAAATGAAGGACAAACTTGATGCATTCCGGCGGCCATCACGTCTTCCGCACAATAGGAGCGTTTGGTATCACTTTTTCACGCCTGCGAAATAAGGGTCCCCACCGAGAGATTGACCGCGTCGACACCCCCATTACAGAGGCCACCACACTTAAATCGATGTCGTAGATATAAGTTAGGACGATAGATCGCCATCTCATGTCGATTGAGATTGTCATTGCTAAGATGACAGCGTCTACGAGAAAGCGTTAGAATGAGGAATGACGTTGGTTTGTCGTTTTTACCGCAGCCATTCAACGAAAGCTGTCCCAATACAACCTTAACTCTTCGTGAAAGCGGGCTATTCAATTTTAATTCGAAGAGATGAGCACGTAAGTCTACGTTGTCGTGTTCTTGATGATTTGCTAAAACTACGAGTTATGGGCTGGTTTAGCCACAATGCGTGCAAAGCACAATACTAATAAAGTGCATAAACTAAAACCATGGTAAACACGCAATAAATGTACATTTTGATTCCGGGCACAACGAGAATTTCATCGTGTCAAGCTGCATTTAAAGCGAAATGGGTGAAAAGTAAGAGCGCTGTGAAATAGGCGGGATATGTCAAATATATTATATTTCTTGTTGAAGTAAAATAAAGATGACATCCCCGCCTATTTATTATTATATTCAAATGTGTATATATGCGCTGTTTAGAAGCTGTAATAAGATCATGGTGGTAGAGATCAACGCATCCCCAGTTTCTCAAGTTTAGTTTTAGTAAGTAGAGCTACAGCGAGGTAAACGAAACGAAAAATGAAATCCAGATTAGGTGAAATGTCTGCCTTAAATCTGGCTGCGGATGTTCCTCATTTCTACGGTCCCTATGTGCCCCGCCGCCTCCACTACATTACACACCACCTCATTCCAGGTTCTTTCCGACGTGGGCTGCCTTCCAATACGCAGAGAATAAGGGCTCAAAGTAATGGGCTTGTTCCGGCGTCAAAACCACCTTCTTTTCCGCGATGCGGCTTTTAACTTTGTTGGGATCCAATCCCTACTCATCCATCGTTTGGAACGCCGTCATCATCCGTGCCATCAGGTCATCAGAAACATCATCAACGTTTTTGCCAACGAGAATTGCTCTAATAGATTCGTCGATGTGGTCTGCTGGCCCCAATCGTTGGAACTTGGGTATATCGTTAATTACGTCATCAACCTTCCCGACTGTCAAGATATTTTTTAGCTTCTCAGCAAATGCTTTGACAGCTGCCGAAAAATCTCTCTCTTCGTTAGTTGACTCTGTATCATGCTCGGTGCCGTCGTGGACAGGGTCACGCTCTCTTTTCTTGTTCTTCTTCTCTTGGTAGCTCTGTACGTCCTATATTCCTGTATTTCCAATCACTGCCTCCTTTACTATCATTTAGTAATCAGCGCGCCCTTTGACAATGGAATGTCGGTTCAGTACCGGTATTATAATGTGCGTAATCAATCAGCCCGTAACATAGGCCGTGTAACAGACTTCTATTAACCCTTAATAATAAAGGCTCTCTGGGGGCCTTCAGAAAATGACGCAAAGCACAAATCAATAGGCATTTGCGTGCAGAAATGCGATAGCCAACAAGTGCATTCGGGACGATATTTGCGATTTAAATCTCTAGAAGAAAATCACACAAATTTGTTTTTAAAACCAGCTTGCGTTGCCGATGACAGTAAATTCTGCTTCGTTCGAGGTACTTCTAGCGAAGTTTTCCAAGAACTACACGGCTAAGTGGCGTCCCGGTCAGTGCGACCGCCCTCCTAAACTACGCTTTCTACAAGCTCAAGCTTGTACATGCACTGCACTAAGCGTAACTCTTACTTAATACATTTTTGACTTTTACGACTACTATCCCTGGTATCTGTTACTACGTTCATTAGTATTTCGTCGCCTTCGGGACATCACCCTTTGTCACAGCAGAAAAAATTAACATTAGTATGTTATCTGAGTGGGTTTTTAATTGTCGTGCTTGTCACGCTTTTCGGACAAATCATTGGACAAAATTTTTTCTATGATTTCTACTGGCTGCCGAGCGCAGCGAAGGTGGCTTTAATTGATTACATATATAATACCCGGATTGTGTAGCTGTCATCAGTAAATACCGGTTTCCCCCTGTCCTAAGCGAACGGCCGTGTGCGCAGCTTGTTGTAGGTTTTGGGTTGCTACACAAAATTAGTAGCTAAAACTTAAGATTTAGGTAAATTCACTGATACTTAAGTTGTTTATTTTAGCCAATAAAAAAGTGGACACGGCGGAATTCGAACCCGCGTCCAGTATTCTCGTGATCAAACCAACTGCCACACTAACCGGAATAGTTTGTTGAGCATCCGAGGTGACGGTCCCGGCCTACTTCAACGACTCGCAGCGTCATGCGACTAAATATGCTGGAGCTATTGCTGGTTTGAACGTGCTGCGTATCATTAATGAGCCGACGGCTGCTGCGATCGCATATGGGCTCGACAAGAAAGGAGGCGAGCACAACGTGCTGATCTTCGATCTCGGAAGCGGCACGTTCGACGTCTCACTGCTAACTATTGAAGACGGGATCTTCGAGGTCAAGGCGACGGCGGGTGACACGCACTTGGGCGGTGTGGACTTCGACAACCGTCTGGTCGAGTTCTTCGTGACCGAGCTCAAGCGTAAGCACCGCAAGGATATGACGTCGAACCAGCGAGCTCTGCGTCGTCTTCGTACGGCGTGCGAACGCGCCAAGCGGACGCTGTCCACTTCGGCGCAGGCGTACATCGAGAGCATAGTCTACAGCAATACGAGTAAACCTCTTTGGCCTTCTGCCTGTTCCAGATGAGCGTGGCCTCCCCATGGTGTGTTCGGCATGTGACAAAGTCAAATGTGTGGCAGGAACAGTCTCATAATTAACTGATTGTGAGAGTATTTTTAGCTGCGGACATAATTCTTAAATGAAGAAATCTGATTGGCTAAAATAAAAATTCGCTTAGGACAGGGGGAAGGCGGTACATGTGTATCCCAGTGTACATATGGGGATTTGCACAAGATTATCCATTAATAATTACCGAAGGCGGCATCGTTTAATTAAATAATAATTTTTTTTTTCATAATGCATGTTGTTACTGTTATTTAAGTGCTAAACTGAGGGTCAATGCTGCTGGGTGATTAGCGTATAGTATCATAATTTCGCTGTTAAAAAACGCTTAGAAAATAATTGTCAAGCTCAATTCGCTTACAGTAGTAATTGTCATCACCACACAAAAGTTATTTTTGTTCAATCTAAACTATCTATCTTTGCGGCTCAAGCGACAACGTTTATTAACACGTCGTTGTTCTTACGACCAGTCCTTACGGCCGGCTACTGATGTACATGTAGCATGTACGATTTAGTAATACTCATAGAAATCCACTCAAATATAATAACTTATTAAGCAAATTAACCTTGTACGCAAAATTATTATAAGCTTCTTACGAAGCTTGAAACATTAAATTTGTTAGAAATTAAGTACTAAAATGACTATTTAAAACGAAATGAGCGTCACCAGGTCCTACAAATTTTACTATCAGCTCATAAGAATATATGTATGCACATCGGCGCCTCCTACAAATGCTAACTAACGTGCACACAGGGGGCGCCCTTCGCGTATCGTGGTGCTCCGCAAGTGGAAGTGGGGGCAAAATGAAATTAAAAAAGTGCATTTTTGTACGATGTGTAAACCACATATAATGCGTACACCACATAAAGCATTTATAGCAAATCGACGCCGCCTTCGCTGCGCTCGGCAGCCAGTAGAACGCACGAATTAGCGTGAGGATTATTAACCATAGCCGTGGACGGATTGACAGACAGACACCACACTCTACTAGGGACCTTTGACTAGCCGGCCGCGAAGGCGCTTGGAACGAAGTCGCTAGCGTTCCTTCGCGAGGCAAGCGGGATCAAGAAGAGGAACGCCGCTGGGTAGCGATCCTTAACGAAGCCGAACGCCGTGCAGTAGCGGTGAGTGGGAGTGTTTATTCACGCCGACTCTGCACGGTTCAGTTAACCGACTGAACGTTCCAGGATGGACCATTCCGAACCGGTTAAACTGGTGGATGGCCAGGAGCGCTTGACAAGAGGACAACAAGGAGGACAACGCTAGAGTAGAAGTTTAGAGGACAGATTTAATTGACTTTAATCTACTCACTTTGGCATTTACCGTTAGCAACAACAACAACGTTCCATTTATTTTGGTCAGGAATTACCTACATAAGTGCATTGGTGTTGTTTCAACTTGATTGCCATTCTCGATGGAAAAAAAAAACCGCCGCTGGAATCCCTTGTCGTGCCCACAGCGGTAATCGTTGTACTGGTTTCAGTTGCTGTGTAGACCATATCGGCTTCATCATTGTCATATACATCGTGTAGATATTCACTCCACATCGATACGGTGGGGTCACCTTTAGCGTTGTCATCTGGGTCATCATCATTTCTGCCTTGATCTTCATCTACATCTATACCCTGTGGAGATGGGATGGATATTTCAGAGCGCTATTTTTCATTTGACCTACATTTGGAGATATAATAAGTTTTTTTTCCTATGATCACAAGCCGCCTCTTTTAGCACACGCCGGCGAACATGATTCGCAGTGATCTAATAATTGGGAGCCTTACTCGGGTCTAAACGAATTACTATTATTGCAACCAATCCGGCTCGGGGAAATGTATCTGTTAGCATTGTTAGACCTAATCAAATGCATGACGTATAGCTTCCGCCACCGTACTGAGAGGCCTTGTTTACTCTCCAACTCATGTACTAAGTGTTTGTTAGCTCTCCGGGTACTTTGTCCCCTGTGTGTTTCTGTGACGGAGTCACACAGCACCTTGCGCTAGAGGAAGTTATCTTCCGAGAGTAAACAAACTCTCAGTGAACGGCAGCTCACAGGTCCCCTCTTTATTCAAAAGAGAGCGAAGTGACCTAAATAAGGTAGATTGTAAACTGAATATATATATAGGTAGATCAGGTTTCAGTTTAATACAAACTATAAGTCACCTATAGAAATGCAATGTCGTTGACCAACGGTTGGCCTTGAACGACCTTGGTACTTTATACCAAATATCCCGAAGTATGACGTGTCATACTCCTGAAGTGTGAAGTGTCACACTTCATGTAACCAGGGTACACTTAGGGATACGTACCCCGTTACATCCCCCCAGCTAGGTTCGGTTTACCGACCAATCCGAATGAAGAGGTGTTCGTCACAAACTCTCATTCTCAAAGTCGAAAACCATCGACTTGGCTGCTCCAGCGCGGCGGCGGCTCACTTCACAGTTAGAGCCTCGAGCAGCAACCTGTGCGCTCTTCGTCTAGGTCTCCAATTCGACCGTTACCATGCCTCGTGGCACAGCAAAGAGCGGAGCTAAGACACGCTCCAAGGCTGCGGCCGGTAAGGCGCAACCCAAGAGCACTAAGCCTCACGACAAAGGCTCGGCACTCAAGGAGGCTACTCAGGTGACCTCCGATGCGATCGGTTTCTCGGGCGACGCGGCTGTGGGCAAGCGAGCAAGCAAGCGCCGCAGTCCGTTGCCCTCGGCCTCAGACAATCGTTCGAACCCTCGGTTCGTGGAACGTAAGTTCAACTCTGGCAGTGAGGACGAAGCCGAGTCCGACAGCACGCACGATGCTCCTGCGGGCTCTGTGGGAGGGGACAGCCCAGTGACCAGTGAGCACAAGGATGACAGCGTGCAGTCGCTCGCTAGTGATCAAGGTGATCACAGTCCCAGAACGTCTGTGCGCTCTGAGAGTCCGGCCGTCAAGGCTAAGGGCACTCCCAAAGCCGGTGGCGATGAGGAAGAGAATCCTCACAAACGTCTCTCGCTTGCCGAGGGTCTTGCGCGTGCTAAGGCCTCTAAAGCCGAAGGCGCCAAGCCCTCAAAGAAGCGTACAGCCTCTAAGTCTCCACTCCGCGAGGAGAAGGACAACACTCCTATCAGAGTATCTTCGAGTCCTCGGATGAAGAGGAGGAGAAAGAGGAAGAAGAGGAGGAGGGTGCTATCGCTGAGCCCCGGGAGGTCTCGAATGACCTCGACCAGCAGCAGGAGGAATGCCAAGCGGCCCAGCATGTGCGTGGGGGTTCGGTGGTGGCACCTGTCAGCCAGGGAGCTGCCATCAACTCAAGAGGGTATTGGCCTCCCGAGGAGAGCTCTGGGGCTGACCTCTTCTTCGAGCTTCTCGTCGCTCCTCGTGGCCTTGTGGGCGGTCACACGTCTAGGGCCATCTACGAACGTGCCCTTGTTCAGAAAGAATAGTTGTTCGCTGACAACCTGGAGGCTGCTCGGTGTGTGCTTCTCGCGCCCCACCGCAACCCCTTATAAGGACTTCACGACTTGTCGTAAGAAGCCCGAGACCGGGGATGGTCTCTATCCTCTTTGGGGATACCCCTGGGTTATGCTCGAGAACTGTCCCACTTGGAGCTCTTGTAAGGACATGATCTGGGCATGGGTGGAGTCTCTTAAGTACTCACCCACGGAGTTACGGGAACCCCATGAAGGTCAGCTGCTGTCCCGCATCCTGGACCAGCGTGATCTTCGTGTGAGGTTTGCCCACTTGATCAGCAAGCGCATGCTGCCAAGGGACATCCTGACGCGCGCGGCTTCTAGCGCTCACGATGAGCGCGGGTACGGAATGTATTCCTCGTCCGTACCCCGTTCGGGCAAGAAGGCCCGGACTACTTATAAAGCTGCCGCCGCTTCTGTTCCCAGATTGCGACAGCCTTCGGGCAGTCAATCAGGAGCCGTTCAATCGGCTCCCACGAGTTCTCGGAGTGGGCATAACCCCTCCACTTTACGAGGAGCTGTCGCTTACCGCGACGCCGTTGCTCCTGGAGGATCCGCTCCACGTGAAAGTGGACTTCTCCATTCCGGTCAAGCAGGGGCGGAGGTGCCCTCGTACGAGTACGAGTACTCGGCGCCTCCCGAAAGCCACTCTCGTCCGAGTGCTCCGAATGCGGATCCGACACAGGGTCCTGAGGTTGACCGCCTCCGTCAACGTGTCCTCGTACTTGAGATTGCACTTGGCCTTGGGACTGACGATGATGCTGCCGCCCAGGCCGGAAATCAGGGCGAGCTCGCTCGTCTTGCGGGCCGCCTGGACCTGTTGGAGCGAGAGGTCGCGAGCCTGAACCTGCGGGTGGATCGCCGGGCCTCTTCGTCCGATCTAGACGAGGCCTTTCGCATGATCCGACGGATCGAGGCTCTACTGTCACGTCCGGAGCCGCCTGTGGCACACTCCCAGACGTACGCGTATGGTGCGTACCCGGCGTACTCAGCGTACTCGGCGTATGGCGCCGGGGCCCATTCGTACGGAGCCCCTCCGGCGTACGGTCTTGACCGCAGCACTGCCGTTTCGACCGAGGCCTGGGTGGCTGCTCCGACGCCCTCGTCGACGTCTGTGACCGGTCCTAGCTTTGAGGAGCTGGGTCAAGGTGGGGCTGCGAATCAGCAACCCCCTGCGGGTCAAAGTACCGCTTAAGACGTCCAACGTAGAACGTCGGGTGCGTCGTCATTGTCTTTGGCAGGTCGATGGTGTACGACGTACCATGTCTGGTCAGGACTGCAAATGGTCCGATGAAGCGGTGCTTCAGCTTGTTGCTGCCGACAGAGCTAACAGTGTCAAAAGGTAGACTCCTCGTGTCTAGCAACACTAAGTCCCCCACCTTAAATATACTTAAGTTTCCTCTTCCATGTTTGTCTGAGTACTCCTTTTGTTTATCTTGGGCCGCTGCCATGACATCGCGGA